GATACCGATGTTTCTGTCAGTTTAAAAGTGGTAAAATAATAACCAATCCTATTAAAGGTTAAACTTCCTGTGCAATAGAGGACATTTCTGAAGCAAGATTTGTTTTCAAATAATTTCAATTATTAATGTATTTCAATATTTCTGTCAGTGATTGTAACATTGTGAAAATGACCTCCTTCATTCTTAATGACACCAAATGAAAATAAAATTTTGGAGTGAGATTTAATAGCAGTCAAACAACTATTTACACGTTAAAAACAGTGGTATTGAATTTTATTAAGCAATATATTCTTTTCCTTAAATAGAAAAATATTTTGATATGGTAGTTTAAGTTTAAATGTGTTACCTTGCTGTGTATATATTATTAAATAGTTAGCTTTTAATAAATACAAATCTGGTCTTGAAAAATAAAGATAATATTTTATTTGATGATATCTATTGAATACTAACACTGTCACACAGCTTACATGAATTTTATGTGTGTATTACTGAAGGTCTTCTTCATCTTACTGTTTCAAACTTGGACAATGGAAATATAGAGAGATTACTGGCCTCCTCTGCAAATTACATTTATTTTTTAATACCAGGGAGAGGATTTATTTCCTTTTCTGTTTCTATGTTATCATGCAACAACACTGCAGATTTTAGACTTGTTAAGCAGTTTCCCTGTGTGCACAGTTCATTTTTCTCTACGAATCCCTGTTTATTTCAACATGAGAATCAGATACTTGTAAAAAATGGACAAGGGTTTCTTTTTCTTACAGCTCCTCCAGCCTTTGTTATTCGCTGATTTCTTGATAGCCATTATTTCTGGTATAAGATGGACTCTCAGTATTATTTTAACTTGAATTTCTTGCATGAATAATGATGTTGAGCAATGTTTCATATATTTATTTGCCACTTCTATTTTTTCATCTGAGAAGTGTGTATTCATCTCCGAGGCCCATTTTTGGCATGGACCTTTGTATGTTGAGCTGATTTTCAAAAATTCTTTATATGTTCTAGACAGAAGTTCTTGTTCTGAGGGATAGTTGAATAGCATTTTTTCCAATTTGTAGGTTTTCTTTTCACTTTGTTGATGATTTATTATGATGGGAGAAAAGGTTTTTAATAAGATGAGAACACAGTTAATGATTCTTTGAAATGTTTCCTGTGCAGTTTGGTTTTTATTAATGAACTCTCTCCCTACTCTTATGTCTGCAATTTTCTACCTACTTTCCCTTCCAGTAGATCTAGAGTTTCTATTTTAATGTTTAAATGTTTGATCCACTGTGGCTTTAGTTTAGTGAATGATGGTAGACATGAGCCCTGTTTTATTCTTCCTGTGTGGAGTGCCCGCTTTTCCAGCACCATTTATACAAGTGGCTGTCTTTCTTCCAGTGCACCTGTTTAATGTGGCTGAGTGTGTTTGTACTTTTGTCTGTATCTTTTAATCTGCTCCAATGATCCACAGGTCTATTATTCTGCCAGTGCCATGCTGATTTCATCACAGTAACTTTACAGTACAGTTTTAAGTCAGTGATTATGATGCCTCCTGTCTTTCTTTTGTTGCCCAGGATTGCCTTTGCTATCATAGGTCTCTTACTGCAGATGAATTTTTGGAAATTTTTCTCTACATCCATGAGGTATACTAATTGTATTTTGATCAAGATTGGCTTTTATCTGTATAACTTTTTTGAGAGTATGGTCATTTCCACTGTTGGTTCTTCCTATCCATTAGCAAGGAATATATTTCCATTTCCTAAAATCTATTTTCATGTAGTTTTTCAGAGTAGTGTAATTTTCAGTGTATAGGTATTTGCTTCCTATGTTAGATTGATTGCTAGGTATTTCATTTTTGGATGGTATTGTGAAGGGTGTGATTTCCCTAATGTCTCTCTCAGCAAGTTTGTTGTTTTGTGCAAGACTGAATTTTGATTGTTCACTTTGTTTCCAGCTATACCACTGAATTTGGTTATTAAATCTATAAGTCTTTCCGTGGCATTTTCAGGGTCTCTGTACAGCCTCATGTCATCTGTGAATAATGATTATTTCACATTTGGTTTCCTATATTTGCTCCTTTTTTTGTTTGTCTGGTCTAATTTCCCTGGATAATATTTGAAAGGAGTGTTATATTGAAAAGGAGTGGTATAGTGGACATCCTTGTCTTGTTCCTGATTGTACATGGAAAGTTTTCAGTTTTTATTCATTTAGTAAAATGTTGGCTGTTGGTTTTTCATAGATGCTTTTTACCACATTGAGGTAAAGACTATCTATTGAGGTAAAGACTATCTTCTGTAGGCTATTTACCATGAATGAGTGTTGGACTTTATCAAAAGGTTTTTCTTCATTTATTGAAATGAGCATGTGGGTTTTATCTTTGGTTCTTTTGATGTAGTGTATTACATTTATCTATTTGCATATATTGAACTATCCTGACATTCCCACATTGATTCCCCATTGGTCATGGTATATAATATTCTTGATGATTTTCTGTATTCTGTTTGCTACTACTTTATTGAGGATTTTTGCATCTAGGTTCATTAGGGGTCCTGTGGTCGTCTTTTTCTTTGAGTGTTTCTCTGCTTTGCTCTGAGGGTAATACTTACCTCCAGGAATGAATTAAAGAGAGTTGCTTCTCTTTCAAGTTCATTAAGGAATTTGAGGAGTATTGGCAATAAATCTTCTCTAAATTTCTTGTAGAAATCAGCTGGGAATCCATCCAGACCAGGGCTTTGCTTTGCTGGGAAGTTTTTAATTACATTGTCCACCTCATTACTTGACATTGTTTTCCAGAATTTTTATATCTTCTTGATTCAGCTTTGCTAATTCTTGCATTTTTAAGATTCTATATTTATTCTGTGTTATCAATAGTATGAGAGTAAATATTTTAAAGTAGATATAGATGATCTGAATTTCCACAGAAGCTGTAGTGATTTCACCTTTTCAATTCCTTACTGCATAAATCTGAGTGTTTTCTTTCCTTTTATGATAAGATTGACTAGGGGTTTATCAATTGTATTTTTAATTTCAAAGAATCAAGTGTTGCACTCACTCAATTTTGTATCCATTACCAAATATAGCCATACATTACAGATAAATACTGAAATTTATTTGTATAATTTTACTTCTGTGAGAATAACATAAAATGTGCTGCTATTTGTGGTGCATCTTTTATGAGGAAGGTGGTAATAAGGACAAAGGAAGGAGAAAAGAAATTTGAATCTGAAGGAGATAAGGAAAATGTCAATAGGTAAAAAGAAGTTAAACTTGTTGGAATTTTTACATAGGTGAAGTAAATGACTTTTATAGATGGAGTTTGATATTGTTATTTTGTAGGCAGGAGGAGGTATGCAGATGCGTAGAAGTGGTTTTAAAAACCTAAGGAGGATAATAGTTTAGTGGAAACAGTTAAAATATTTGTAGGTAGTATTGTATTAAACATCTATGTCAAATATTATTTAAAATTACATTGCCATTCTCTTCAGTGTTTTAAATGTGTCATCACTTATTAATTATTCTTCAATGTATATGAATACATCCCTGTTCTAGTTATGCTCCTAAGCAGGCTGAGATGGGTGAGAAGATAAGAACAAAGAAAATGGTATAAAAGTGAATAAAGTGAAAAATTTGAAAACAACCACTAAAAGAGGTAACATGTGAAAGGGGTAAACATTCAAGCACGAAGTTTATAGAGAAAATTTTGTCAATGAAGAAGCAAGAATCAAAAAGTAAAAGAATAATATAAACATGAAAAGAAAACTATAAGAAACACCCAAGTGTACCTATTGAAACAAGGAAATATGGACAACTACTATGAAATATAAAAACAAATACAAATAAAATCTTTCCAAAATGTTTAGAGCATTAACCCAAGACATTCCTCAGCTCCCTCTGGACTCCAGCTCAAGTATAATTGAGAACCCATAGTTTCACCATGTGGACTAGGCAGTTTCATGTGCACAGTAGGGAAGCCAGTTTTTCTCTCCAAACGTGTCCTGGTTACAAGCCATGCTTCAGGCATGAGTCACTGCAGCCCCCCTTGATCCAATTGCCTTCGTCATTGGGCAGCCCATCCTGGCCGACCTCACTACTCCTTGGCCATAGTAAAAGGAATGAAAGAAGCAGATCAGGAGCAGTGTTCCATGTCAGTCCTCCTTTTTCCATGATTATAGTCATGGGGAGGCTGAACTGCAGGAGAAACTTCAAACCTTTTTGATACCTTCTTCTTGTTATTGTACTGATTCATTTATTAAATAAAATGTAATGCTGTTTGAAGCATTGCTAGTGTCTGAAGTAGTCTTAACAATCTCACAGGAAATGAAGGAAAAGATGGGAGAAACTGTATCATTTCTGGGTCTTATTGCTAACAGTGAAACAGTAAAGCCAAAATGTAACACATGCAAGTTAAATGTATTTCTCTGTTATTGCACTGTTCACACCAATGTTACCATAAATCAAAAATATATCTGTGCTTTTTTCATCTGTTATGTGTACTCAATGACTTTTACCTGAGATAAATTACTGCTATCACAGTAGTTTGTCTGTCCCGGGACAAATATCTATAATCAGACACTTCTCAGTCAAGGAATCTCAGTCAGTGTTTGCTCACCTCTAAGACAGTTTCTCTAACCTTTCATGGGCTCCCAGAGATGGCTGAAACAGTCACCTTGGCATTTTCTTCTATCGTGTTTCTGAATAGTGAACCCAGAAAACACCACTACAGCACCACTTCTTCCACAGCTCTGCAAAAAGTCTTCCATTTTCTATGAAGGAACATTTTGCTCCATCATTAAAGAGCAACAGCACACTAAACATCATTGAATGGATTTGTACAAAATCTAAATGCATGATAATCAATATTATCAAAAATTTTAAAATGTACATTATATGATATGTATCCTCTTATCCATTTTTAAAAGTTTAGATAGTGGTATTAATTATCCCAACACTCCGGTGTAATCAATGATTCTAACAGTTTCTGGAAAAGTAAAATTTTACAGCCCATAGAAAATATTATGCACATTTTCAAAGTTGTAAACATTTATTTTCCTTTTCATACAAAATTTCTTAGAATTTCAAAGTCCAGAATATTAACTTGTGAATATTTAAGATTGTATAGAAGACACCTTTTTTTCTATACAAAGATATCACAAAGCTACACAATTACAGCTAGGAATTGAATATAGTGTGTGTGTGCATGTTTTGGATACTCTACCACTGAGCTACATCTTCTAACCTTTTTCTTTCTTTAATTTTAATTTGAATTTTCATAGTACATGTTTGTAGTACATGCATCTAGTTTCAACTTGAGGATGAGGTCCATGTATATGCCACAGCTTGTCCCTTTTTTACTAACCTCCTTCTACCTTCCCACTCATGTCCCTTTTTCTGTCTCTAAATTTCCTTACCCCATTTTCTTTTTCCTTTTCTTCTTATTCTTCACTTACGTTGAAGATAAATATTTTACCTTCCTTTTTGGTATTTGGAGCCCATGTATTGAATATCTTAAATTTTCTTCTTGCCCTTTCCTTTCCCTAAGACAGAGTCTTCCATGGTTGCCCAGGTTGGTGCCGAACTTCTATAATTCTGCCCACAGTCTTAGTGCATGAGGACATCAACACAGGCCCCATGGTCTCTACAAAATTTCAGTCACATTTGCCTTAGTATAATTTGACCTGAGTTGAAACTGCAGTTTCTCTCTTCCACTTCAGAGTCTGAGTTGATCTTCCCAATTTTATCTAATTTCCTTCTCATTACCTGTACAGACTCAGGACAGTGCTTTTGTTATCATTGTATTTAAAGACACACTATTTCTGAAAATGCAAATAAATCGTTATTCTTTTCAAATGGAAGTTTCAATAATTGTGAATTTTTAAGAGGTATGATAAAATGTAAAAGCAAACACCAAACTGGAATTATTTCAGGAATTATGAAATTAGAATTGCATGCTCTAATGTTTCACTGAAATAAAATAGCAGATCAGGAAAGTAACAGTCTTGTAAAATGTTGAGAACCATCTCCCCACACCTTTATCATAAATGGTAAATTAAAACACAATAATCTGGCCCAGCACGCCTACCACTTATAGATCTCAACCAGCTCTACTCCTTCTTCTTCTTTCCTATCCTCACAATCTTCTGATAACAAAACAAGCAACATTTTGTGACAAGGAGAGTAACAGTCACCACACAAGCCAGCAGGAAGCCAATCACATCCAAAGAGTGGTACTGGTACCAGGTGAGGTTCTGGGCGAGTGGCCGCAGGTGCTTGGCCCCTTTGTGATGCATGACAAACTCGATCCAGAAGATTGCTCGGTCCAGGGGCTTCACTGGCTGGTCATGGTGAATGGTCGATAACCTCATGACATTCTCTTTAAAGCTAAGAAAATTAAGGAGACATCAACTTAAACATTGAATGAAAAAATAAATGCATATTGTTTGTAGATAAATATATGTAGACCTGATAAAATTGAAAGAAAGCCTTGTCCATAGTTTTCTTCACTGAAATGTTACAGATGCTAGGATTTTGAACTTTTTGAACATGTAGGATTAAAAACATGTGGCAGCGAACTAGGAGAGAAATATTATTTGTAAGGAAATAACAGGAATGTGTTCAATTAAAGTCTGAACAGTATGAATCAAAACTGTACTTTCAGGATTTAGAGATCACTATGGAGTCATAACATGTCAAAGGACAGGTTGAACACATTCCAGTAGGTATCACAACCTGCACCTAGAAGGCAACTGCATGGAAGGACAAAGAAAATATCTGAACATTAATAATGTGGTAGCAATGACAAGAATCAAGTGATACAGTATCAACCTTGGATTAGCGATGAACACTACAAAGAAGACTGCCTTCTCTAATCCTTACCGTGCCCCTGGTCTCCTGATCTTTTTTATAAATGTCTCACTTTTTTTTCTTAAATGCACACAAAAGGAATTGCAGCTTGGTTCTCTGATTACTGTGAGGAGTAACATGCTGATTTTTGGAATTCTTTGGAGGAGTTTATCACGTGCTGATACCTCTGTAAAGGTTTGCAGTCCTTACTATTGATATTTATTGTGTTACTGTTGTGCCTTTAGATTATGGTTATTGGTCAACAACTTGCAAATAGTGTCACAGTTACTTTTCTTATTATTGTTGGAATGATTATAATGCAAAGCAGAGTAGAATATGGAATGAATTTACCAAGTATAAACAGCAATGTTTTGGGGCTGGGAATTTAGCTCAGGCAAACACAAGGTCAGGAGCTCGATTCCATATATGGGAAGAAAACAATAAACAAAAAAACAATGTTTTATAGCATTACATGGGAGCAATAGCAATGGAGGCAGATTTTTTTTCTGTTTTTTTTTGTAGCTAGAATTGAAATCCTGACCTCAGTCATGCCAGGCAAGCGTTTTTCCTACTGAGCTACATCCCCAGCCCTCATTTTTTAATAGAAGTGGGAGGGCTGTGTTTTTCAGAAAGTTCTCAAAACTTTATATTATTTTAATATAATAGTATAAAGTAACAGTGACATTATAGAATACATTCAAAGAAGTAGGATAATGACATGAAAATGTAACTAAAGTCACTAGAGAAGGGTTAAGTATAGTGGGATTTTAATATGGTTTATATGTTTTGGTTTAAGGAACAAAATCCGTTTTGGAATATTGAATTATATACGGAGATAATGGATGTATTAACTTGCTTTCATACAGAAAGTGTTTGCTTTCTATATATATTCCCATCATCATGTCACATATAATAAACAAAAAGGTAAGTTTAAAGTAGCATGGACAATATAACCCTTAAGTGCATTAAAATTTAAAGCTGTTGACATATTTATGTTTTTCTGTTGGAATAATTTTCTAATGCTTCCTAATAAAGCTTATTTTTCTGTTTTCATTACTCTCCTTGAAGTTATTAGCATTATGCTAAAATCACAGACAAAATTTTCCAAAATATTTTGAACAAAACATGAAGATCATAAATGACTATGAATAATTTTTATCAGTTGATAATTAAAATATTTGTATTCCTGAAACTCTTCTTGTTCAGATTCTCCCTGAAGCCTTGTCCTTTATTCAGAGTTTAATAAAATCTTATGCAGAAAGTGGGTAATACTTACGAAGGGTTGTTCATGACTTCCTTTAGTGCATTGACCAAATCTGTAGTTGACATTGTCTGGAAATCCAATGCAACAGCTGTTCCTTTAGCTTCCATGTGAGCAATGTTATCATGCTGTTCCCCAAACAAAGGAATCCCCACCATAGGGACCCCATGGTTGATGGCATCGTAGACACCATTGGCTCCTCCATGAGTTACAAAAGCTTTGGTTTTGGGATGACCTGGAATTAGGAGAATTTCAGTCATGTTATTAAGTACAAATCTTAGACAAAATATGAGAAATGTCAGGTAGTGATGACAAGAAATACATTTTATGAAATAGCTATTGATCCTTTTTTATCGATGTTAGGTTGCTTTGCACCTCAGAACAAAAAATACCAAAATCTACGTGCTGGTAGGTGAAGATTTAATGACAGAGATATCGTGTGACTTGAGAGTTCAACAACAGGTACATGATATAGTAGAATAAATAGAAATACTAATGAAGACAATGAAGCAAGAGACAAAGAAGACCTTGTGCATTCTAGAACCTTTCTTCCTTTAAAAAAATATAGTGCTTTCAGTAAGTCTGATGTGAAGATTTTTTTTAAAGTATCATGAAGTGGATTCACTGTTATCAGGTCTTCAGTGTTTGTGCTTTAGTACCTTACCGAGTAGGTCATTCTGGGGGATCCAGTCATGCAGTTGAGTATTGGCTTGTAAGGTATCAGGTGTCTTGCCACTGTATCTCCAAATAACCTAATAGATCAAGAAAATATTTCACTGTACTTCTCAAAATTGAACTCAATGTATACCTATAATTTAATTAGCTCAGGTTACATATACTCCATACATTTTTGTATGTACTAGATGAGGAAATGAGATCAAGAAAGGTTAAGTCATTCTTTGTGTTTCTTTCTATGTTGTTGGCATTTTGCTACTGTTTTTTAAAAATTCTCTTTAAAATAAAAAAAATTTAAAAACCCCAAAAGTTAAATAACGTGGAAAAGACAAGAACAAATACAATACAGATCTATCTTCTCTGTAGTTCCATACTAAATTGGTAAGTGCAGTCATGAGTTTCATATAATGACTAATAGAAATGAGATAATGAATGAAAAATACTATGCTTAAGAAATTGCTATGTAGTCATCCTTCTATCTTTATTTTATTTATTTATTTATTTAATTATTTATTTTTTTTTTTCCAGTACCAGGAATCTCACTCTCAACCTTGCACTTGCCAGGGAGGCGCTGTGCCACTGAGCTAAATCCCCAGCCCCTCATCCTTCTATCATAGAGTAATGAATTTAAAGATTAAAATCCTTGTATAAAATGTACCTTATCAATACAATATTATCTTTTGTGTTTTAATATTAGTAATAACTTGTTTATTCTACATATTATTTTACCAGAATTTGACCATTGTTTATTTACCAAACCTCAGTTTACTCAATGTTGAGAAATCAATGAAAGATTCAAAAATGAGTTACATCAAAATTGGTTTAAGTCACAAAAAAGTAGTGTTTCTAGCAGGAAATTTTCAATGGCTCTTTCTTTATGAACTCAGAGTGTTATCATTAGTGCTAGGATGGGAAGTTCTTTATGGATGTTGAAAACTTGCCATATTGGAAGGCCCTATGTTTTGTTCAAATGTTTACTTTGCCAAAATGGACCATGATGCTCATTCACAGAACAGAAAACATGATTTATCCCAGACAAAGCATTTCCATGCCTAACTTAGGGTAATATAATATTTAGAAATACCCAAATCACCTACATGTAATGAAACATCATTTATTAATGCATTATTTCTACTTACCATGACAATATTAGGAATAACTTCTGGATCTCATCTTATAGTGTACAATACTGATAACAAGAGTAATATAGCTATAGAAAATGTAAAGTAGTTCATAAATATTTAACAATTAAATTTATATTATATATAACAGAAAACTTCTTACCTGTACTTCTCTCTTCCTATTCCAGGCTTGATTAAGGGTGAATATTTCACACTATACTCCTCCTTACTCAATTACCTGGAAGTTTGAATCTGGTTCATAACAAGCAGTGTCCTTGTGAGACATATTTTATTGATGCCCTGACTTCACTAGAAAAGCATGGCCGCATTTCCACCAGTCTCGTACATCTTCATCTTTTAGATGTTAGCAGGATCCAGATCAGGAGGCAAGACTGCCATTTCTCTCTGTCCCTCTAATTTTGGGGATCTGCATTGCCCTTCTACTTAGAATTGAAAAAATCGGGGGCTGGGGATTTAGCTCAGCGGCAAAAGCGCCTGCCTGGCATGCGCAAGGTCGTGAGTTCGGTTCCCGGTACCGGAGAAAAACCAAAAAAAAAAAAAAAAAAAAAAAAGAATTGAAAAAATCTGGTCAACATTCTCAAAATTCTACCCTGAGCAAAGCACTTAATTTTCTGATTCCAAAGTATGATAAATTATGAGGCCATGTTTTAGCATTCATCTTAAATTGCATAATGATATTCAGCCTCTTTTAAATATCTGCATATTACTTTGTTCTACTGAAGTTAGCAACTCAGCTTTAACACCTGTCTGAAACATCTTTAGTATGTACGATGCCAGAGCAACCATGCACGGAAGGAAAACAACCACACAGTGCTTGGTCATTTCTGAATTACTACCAACAATATCATCGTACCAAAAGTTCAAATTTTAACGTGTTAAATATTTCTTTCTGGTGTCAGTGTTAACATTAACATAATTATGAAGCAGACCCTCCCTCTTTTATTAAATATGCTGTTGATAGCTTCGTTTAAACTGGCTAAGTTAAAGTTGATCAATAGCTTCAAAATTCACATAGGAGTTATTGCAGTTGGATCCTTGATAGAATTTAAGTGATTAAGTGTGTGTCTGTGCAGTGTTAAGGCACTTTAGCTAACCTTTTGGGGAAGCTGAGCAAGAGCTGAAGCAATCACATTGGCCCTCTCTTCTGTTAGGTTGTAGATCATCGACCCTAGAGAAAACACCACAATACCATGTTCTCCAGAGCTCTGCACAAACTCTTCCATTTCCTGTGATAAAAAAATGTACCCCATCACAGAGGAAGCAGGAAAGTGCATAATCTTTTGAGAGGATTAGACAGAAAGTGAGAGAAGCCCAGTCTTATTAGGTATCACTGGAAGAACAGCAGGCTTAAGTACACAAAATGCAGAGCTTGCCACCTTAGCCTTTTCTACCTTTCTCAGTAGCAGAGGGAAGAACATTCACACTGTTGCACAAAGTTTGTCTCCAGTGCATCTGTTTTGCAAACAAAAACTCTAAAGCCTATGTCCTTTCTGTATTTTTAAATAATTGTTTTGAATTTATGTTCCTTTTTCATCCTATAAGAAATATTTGCTATTTCTATGTATATTCTTTCTTTCTTTGATTCCAGCCCACCTTCTAGTGTATGACTATTCTGGAGTTAGCTACAACTCTTTAGTAAAATACTGCAATGATGTGATACATTCATACGTATAATTTAATCATTCACTAACAAGAATATTTAGTTTTTTGCCTGTGTTTGCTGTTATTAAATGTGTATAATATTGTTATAGTATATGCTATGTTTGCATAGATTGTTTCAGTATATATCATATAGCCAGAAGTTAGATACATTTTTTACAATTTCATTAAAATAATCAAAAATTTTAATTTTCAATTGAGCAAGGATTTTATATGATAATTTGGTAATGAGAATACAAATATTTTAGCAACTGAAGGACTTTTTTCAAAAAAAAGACAGATTTCATGTTACTTTGAGTGCAAATATTGTGTGTGCAGCTAAAAAGGTATCATTAGTGAGTAATGCCATATGTTATTTTTTCTCCACTTTTCTTTCATTTTCCCACTCTTACTAACTCTGCTATTTTCCTTTTTATAGGAAATGGGAATCTTTCACATATAGGGATAAACGATATTAAAATTTCAGAAACGCTTTCTTTTTTTTTTTTTTTTTTTTT